CTGACCAAACGGCTGATCACTGTGTAATGATAGCCAAGCTGTCTACCTATCCCCTTGTAGGACATACCAGCGGAATTCATGCCAATAATTTGCCATCTCCGCGCCTCTGAGATCCGTCTCCTTGCCATTCTTCCTTAAAATGATTTTGCATTCAGAAATTCGGGACTTAAATACGGATTTGATGCACGAGAAAATAGTGCATATTGGACGTGAAGAAGGGAGCAAGTTGCACGTGGGGAAAAAAACGTGCCTGATTTAAATGTCACACCTGAATGCTCACATCCTTTTAATTATGTTTGAAATTATGAACATTGCTCAACATCATGAAAATTAAACCTTATTTTCAATAAGCAATCCTGAAAAATATTTGGGGGTGCTTAACTTTTTTCCAGGTGTATATATTTGGATGACTCCTGTGAAGGAATGTGAAAAACCTCGGAAGATGTCAGAAATGTGGGAACATGAATGCAAAATCCAGTTAATTCATGTGAAACTGATGTGTTGGTGGTCCATTTTTGGAACAAAAAAAAATATATATATATGTATGTATATGTCTTTTTATCATGTAGAAAGAAAATGACCCACATATGGCAGGAGTGCATAGGCCTAATGATGATCTCAATGAGTACTGAACAAAACACATATGTTGGATTAAACAACAGGAACAGACAATGGATGTTTGTGTTCCGAAAGTACAAAGTCAATTAAAAGAAAACCAAATAGAAGATAATTCAAATGTCACTTCTAGCTGATAGGTTTAAAACTTAGCATCATTCTTTCAAAATTAATGAAAGAAAGACTACATGATGAATAGTAACCAATGGTCAAAAATGCCAGTAAATCTATCAATAAAATATGTCTGAAGACAAGCAGTGTTGAGGAAAGAATGAATTTGTATTCACATGCCAGTGATCAAGGGGATTACTGTGTATAGAGGGTGACTTGCCTCCTATTGATTGAGGTCATTGACTAATGATGATTACATTAATATACAGGAATAATACATAATGGCACATGTAGCAGTGGGAGCTTTGTTCAAGGCTTGTGGCATGTGCAGGAAATTACATAACAGTGTATGCGAGGTAAAGACTCTTTTGGAGGTGCAGATAGGTGAATAAGGTTTCTGAATGATTTAGTTTCTAGATAACCAAGGAAAACATAATGGAGTTATTGTAAGAGTATTTCTTTGAACTATAATTAAGTTCAAACAGATTAATTTTTAAGCTGATAAAAAATTGCTATAGAAAAGTAAGAAGATGATACAAAGCTAGAGAACATTGTGTTGTTATTTAACTACAGAGTAAGTTGTTAAAAATATAGAAATATGATATACAGCTAGAGATGTACTTTTGAAGGTAGGAATATACCTGTATAAGGATGAGTTATAGGAAGATGGCAAAAAAATATAAACAACTAGAGAGAAACATGTTGTATAATGATGAAGAATTGAGTAAAATAATATATAAATTTATTTAACCTATAAGGAGCCGTTTCTTTAGCTAGATTTACACTTTCAAGACATCTTTTCAATCCATTCACTAACAACAATTCTTGACTTGTTATGTAAAGAAAGGCAGACAGTAATGGATTAGAGACACTTTCTATAGAATAGTAAGATGGTAAGAAGCTTATAGAAAAGTAGAAAGATGTTATGTTACTAGAAAAAACTTGAGTACGATGTGACAAAAAGAATTAAAGTGATTATCTGTAAACCATTTGTAGATTGAAAATGAGAAAATTACATAATAAATGTACAATAATTTCTATTATTTATTTCATTACATGTGCTTTTGGTTTGTATTTTGATTTATGCAATGGTACAACAATATAATGTTATCTTAAAGAAATGTATGGTAAATGATGAAAAAAAATGTAGCATTGAGTCAAATAATATGTAAATTTATATGACCTGTCAGGAGCTGTTTCTTTAGCTAGGTTTACTTTTTCAGGACCCATCTTTCCAATCCATTCACTGATAACATTTTCTTCTTTAGCCAATAAAAGTAAGTGACATTCTTTGGAAGTCATGAATGTCAAAAGCTCTTCAAAAGTTTCCTAGAGAAATGTAATATAGAAATGAAATAGGATGTTGTCATATTTTTATGGTCAGCCATTAAAGTTATAGCTGTTATTTCTGAACAGCATAAAAATTAATTATTGTCAAATAAGTTTCATTTTATAATGTTCAGAAGCAAGCTCTAAAACTTGTTGACTTAAGGTCTTATAATTTTAGTGATATAATTAATACCATTACATACAATTACTACTGCAAGTTGTTAAACAGATTTTGTTAGGAGTACTGATACCATGTTTTATTCAAAATAAAGTATATTGCACTGAAATGGAAAATTTTTAAAACCTGTCACAAATTAACTTGGCAGAACTAGAAATGTCACGGTATGTTAAAAGATTGATTCATTAAAACTTCTGATATTCAACTCTTTATATCATGAACTGTTGTACTTCAAATTATTTTTACAAGTTTAAACTGTGTATAATCTGTATATCAACCAACAAAGCTAGCTTCTGTTCATTAGAATAACAAAACGGACAAACATCTAATGATATCAAATGATTTAGCATGAAACATTATGTTGTTTGTGCATTTGTAGCTTTTTTACATATGGCTCATAAATTAGTTTTAATAATTAATTTAGGTTTTACCAAGATTTCTAATTCATCTGAAGGTTATAAACTTTATATATAATGTGGCATACTTCAAATTAAGCAATAACTTAAATTATATTACATTAAACCAGATTTCTTTTTAACATTTTCTGAAGTCAGTATGTATTATATAAATGAAACTTTAGTATTACTTGAAAAGACTCAAATACCTAGATTTTTTTACCTTGTAACATGTATATATATGTTTACTTTTCTTTTGTAAAATAATATTTTAAATGAGTTAAAAAAAAGAGAGATTTCTAGAATATTGCTGTACACACTTTAAGAGAGCTTACATTAAAAAATCAACAAAGAAATTTTAGATGATAAGTTAGCAGACTAAGATAGATATTAGCAAAAGGTACACATTCACATACTGTATTTACATATAAACTTAGTTTAATTTATACATTAGTTAAATCATAAAAATACTTTATTAAAACATGTGTGCAGATATTGACTTAAACAACAGGTTAAAGTGAAAGTTTAACTAGCTGATGCAGAACCCATTACCACATCTTTTAAGTACATATAGATACAAATGAAGTTTAAATTATTAGTTAGCCAAATCATATACAATATTTTCAAAAGCCTTATTTATACAAATATATTCACTTAAAAAGTATATTACAATGAAAAGTTAACCAACTGTCACAGAATGCTTTTGTAAATCTTACATATATATATATATGTATACTCATACAACAGCATTCATCTCAAAGTTAGTCAATAGATATAAATCATTCAAACCAGAGTAAGGCATGCTACTTATTATCATGATGAAAAATTATTTACATAAATAACAACCTGAAATCCTAAAGCATAAAAATAATCTGCTCAGATGAAAATCAAAACATAGTAAGCTAATATAGAATGCTTTTTACGCAATTTTCATTTACACAAACATTTATCAAATTAATATAAAGCACCTAAAAAAAGACCATATACAGACATACACTTAAGCATATAAAAGTTTAAATATATAGTGTGTCAGTTTATGTATAATAATTTTAAATAGCTTACAGTTGTTAAACAGGATCCATATAATTTTTCAACTTCTTCCTGGCAAAGTTTTCTGTTTTCTTGTTGCACTATTTCAAACCCAGAATTTTGAATCTGAAAATATAACATTAAATATTTTTTCAAACTTTTAAGTTCATTAAGCTTGACTAATTGCATTGTTCTTCTTATTTTTGAATACAAGCTTGAAGTAGAGTGTATAAATGACTATCTTTAAGATATGTAGCAGACCTGAAGTTGTAGAAACTTATTTCATGGCTTACAGATATTAAAATCAAAACTGTTATTATTACACTGTAAGCTATTTCAAGTATAAATAGAAACAGCAAAGTAAGCTAATGCCAATATAAAATTTGTTCAAAGATTTTCGATATTTTAAGTTGCACCTGCTACCAAAAAAAAAAGCTAAAAATAAGGTTAGAAAAAAAACACTATGAAAGTCCTGATTTGCATCAATATTTTTGTTAACAGAATATTAGGTCCTAAAACAATTACTTGATACATTATAGTTTAATTAATCTAGTCCCAGTTAAAAGCCAATTTCAGTTGTTTGATAAGTAAAGTTCCATCTATTTTAAATGTATCTTCATCACCTAAAATGCTGATGATATGAAAATGGCAAGTTTGCACTGGAATGTTACTTTCCAAATAAAGGTATGGAAAGCAGAATTCCACTTCTACTGTCATATTATTAAGTTTCCTATTAAGATTGGACAATTTTCTTAGAGTAGAACCACCATAACATCATTCTCAATGAGGAAAAGAGTATTATGTATTTATTTGATCCAACACATCCTTGTTCACATTAATCAATGTACCAACCCCACATTAAAGAAGGAATATTTAATACAATTCCAAATTTACTACATGTATCTACGTGAAAGTTAACATTTTCCTAAACTGAAAATGTATTTCTAATAATACTTACCTCCGCTGACACTATAGCTATTTCTCGATCTCCAGGGTTTCCACTCTTTGCCCATCTAAGCATTGAAAATGCTTGCTCCAGTCTTTATATACCCCACTTGAATGCCCTTGGCAAATTCTAATTTGCAAATTTCTCCACCAACTTCAATGTGTCCTCTATCTAGGTACTGTATATAGAACCTCATTCAAATAATGTAATCACCTTTTGGAGACATAAACCAGCTTTTAATGTGGAGGTAGGGCAGGAGAGTGTCAGCGGAGGTAAGTATGTTTTAGAAGTTAACATGTTCCTAAACTGAAAATGTATTTCCAATAATAATTACCTCTGCTGACACTCTCCTGCCCTACCTCCCCATTAAAAGCTGGTATTAGTAGTAGTCCACACACCAGCCCACACAATGTCTTCCAGAGGACAGTTCAACAGGGCAGCTAATGACATAGAGATATGATGAATCTGGTGAAAAGTGACATGCAAACCTGTCCAGTCCTGACTGAATGCATCCATTGAGGTATCAGAGACCAAAACAACTGCAGTTGAGAATTCCAATGAGTTGCAAAGGCATCAATCATTGGAGACCAGAACTGAGAGCAAATCCATTGAAAAACCTCATGATGTAGCATCCATTTCGACAGAAGAATCTGGTTTGGTCGAGACAAGTGATCTGCAATTAAATTTATCACTCCTGGAATATGACATGCTAAAAGACTGATATGATGAGCACGAGCTCAATAGAAAAGATCCAAGGTACAAAAACAAAAGTCTCAAGAATGTGTGCCTCTTTGACAAGAAATCTGAGAAACCACTGTGGAATTGTTGGAATGTATCATGAAAACTTTTCCCCTCAAGAGAGACAGACCTTGAACCATAGCTCAGTGTAGTGCAAGGAGTTTGAGAACGTTAATATGAAGGGTAGACTCGTCTTCTGTCCAAATACCCTGCAACTCCTGACCTAGAAGATAAGCTCCCCATCCCTGAAAAGATGCATCTCAAGACGAGGTGTTCGAATGAGTACTCCAATAGTAGTATCATTCTGATTCAACCACCATTTGCAATTGATGATGTTGCTCCTGAGTTATGAGACAGGATGACCCAAAGGGTTGGAATGCATAATCCATTGGTCACACAGTGACCAGTGAAGAGACCTCATATGTGCTCATCCCAAAGGAACGAGAGGTTTGAGGGATGCCCATATCTCCAAAAAAGAGAGAACCATCTGCACAGTAGGAGAAGCCTGATGGTTCTTTCCATGGCTTGTAACCTGATAGGAGTTGGATGAGCTCGATTTAAGAGAGTATTGAAAAACGCACCCAGATGGTCGAGAAATTGCAGAATAGATTTCTCCAGTCTGATAAGAAAGCCTACTTTTGTGGATGCTAAAAGGAGAATCCGAGAGAGTTGTTCTGCTAATCGACAGGGTGGTGCCAGAAGGAGCCAATCACCCATATAATGATGTATGAACAGACCCAAAGAATGCAGATAACACGAAAAAGCTTGTACAACTCTACAGAAGACATAAGGTGCTGATGCAAGACAAAAAGGTAGAGCCATGAATTGCAGGACCTGACCCATGTGCACAAATCTGAGAAACCACCGGGAAGATTCCACTATGGGAATAGGGAGATAAGCATTGGTAACATTGAACTTGGTCATCCAGAGCCCTGGGGCAAAGTGCCATCATATGTAGAAAAAAGATTCCGTAGTAAAGCGAGGAGGATCTAAAAATTGGTTGAGTCGAGACAGATCAATCATTACATGCCAATCTCCTGTCTTCTTGGGTACAACAAATAAATGGAAATAAAATCCTGGAAGAACTGGATCGACCCTCTCTACTGCCTGTTTGATTTAGAATTATCTTATGGCCTAGGAACGAAGCTCCACTCATCTTGGATCTTTTGGAGGTGAAAAGGCAACAGGTTGAGCAGATAATGGTGAAAGTGATGTAAATTGAATGACTAACCCTGAATCCAGAACATGAAGTACTCATGGATCCCTGGTGAAAGAGCTCCAGATCTCCAGAAAGTGATGTAATTGTGCTCCAACGGGATAGTCTCCGACACCATTGTCGATGGTTCGTCCATGTCAAAGATCCTCAATAATACAGACGGACTCTATTATGAGAACCAATAGACCTGGGAACCAAAGGAGGAGGTCAGGAAACACTACGAGCCGACACTTCTAAAAGCGAGAAGCTAATGATGACAAAGAAGAATGAAAACGAACAGAATCAATTCATGATGGTCATGGCATGCACGCTTTGACCTCCACTTGTACACATATGGTTAAAGGATAGAGATAGCCTACTTCACAAGCAGCAAAGCATTCCATATGGAAAACATTCTTATTTTAAACACAATCTTGCTTTGTTCATAAGAACAGATGCTTTCATCAATTTTAATTAAAATTTATATTACAAAAATGTTTTCTTTAAAATATGATACTGTACTTCTGAATGGAGATAATCTTCAATCTCCACACCAAAAACTGTTTTGGAAGTGATGCACAAGATAAAAGGAGACTAGGCTATATATAACTTATGAAAAAGATACAGAAGTGTGTTTATAGACAGATTAGTATATTATGAATGTTTGTAATCTAGGAACCCAATATGATCCAACGGGAGACAGAGGAATGTTACATATTGATCTCAAAACATGTTTATTGGGCATCTTAAAAATTTAAATGGAAATCTCTCAAGCTTACTATTGATTAGAAATTGTACACGAGCAACACTGGACTCAGCACAAAAAACACCAATGAAGACTCACAAGCTCTTGAAATAATTCAGTATGTCCCCAAAGATAATTATCAAATCAGAACCTTATTCATGCCAAACAGATAAATAAATAAACTTCTATGCCAGAAGCAATCATTGATTCTACTTGATAAGCTTATCACCCAGTCACTCAAGTGAGAACCATCAGAACAATAGTTATAAATCCAAGGAAACAAGCCAGAAGCTGGTAACCACAAAACAGATGAAAGAAAATGTCATCTTTCCTGAGTACAAAATTCCAGAAAGACAACCAAATGAAGCAGTTTGTGATGCAATATAAAATCACGTTGAGCTAGGTGAACAAATCAGATCCAACAACAAACACTGTGCAGAAACAACATTTTTAGACATCACATTTTAACTCTCCATACATTTAGTCAGCCCATGAAAGAATTTTAGATCAGGTTGTTTCCAAGTAGAGTCAGATGGAAGGAACGTCCATGTCAAGCACAAATATAGGGCTCAATATGAACCAAGTAGCACAGATGTGTATATATAAAAACACTGAAGCACATTTGTGTCTCAGCAAAAATTACCTACAAAAGGCTATAGAGGGTGATATGTTGAATGTTTATTCATCCCTTCTAGTCATATATAAAAGATGAATAATTAATATAACAAAAACTACCACTCATTAGAAAAAATGTGAACAAAATATTACATCCAACAGGATGCAATGATGAAATAATGTCCAAGAGACTTCAACCAAGGATAAATAATAACAGGATGTGAGTTTTAATAGACAATTCTAAAAGGAGATAAAGAGCGAAAGGTTATTAACTCAAGGTCTTAGATGTGATAGAAAATCAGTCCTAATCAAGAGGAAAATGAAGACATGGTAAATGTTCAGCATAAAATGGGTGAAAAATGACCAAGAAATGATTCACTCAGACCTAACAATACATAGAAAGCTAAATTACAGAAAAAGAAACAACTAAAATACAAAACTAATCTTAAAGTAAGAATGATATTGCATGCAGCTCCAGTTAAGTTGATGTTCCAAAAGTGGATACTTGTTACTGGTAGAAGAAGGTCACATAAGTGACAGAGTTCAAGAACAAGAATGGAAGTAAGAAGTTTTATAATGACAGGTCATCCAAGTATTAGATTATACCCTGGTGTGCAACAAAATAACTAGAAACTGTATATCAAAGAGGTAAAAAACTACTTATGATATATTTAAAGTTTATAAAAAAATCGAATGAAACATTCACACTAATAAGGATTCTATACAAATCATTGCAAGAAAAGTTTGGATACAAAATGATCTGGTATATTTTAACTTTTTTCAAATAATGTAATTATATCACTTTTAAAAAAATGTTCTGCTAATGTCGGCTCACTTAACATACTTAACAACTAGTGATATTTAGTAACACTTTTATACTGAGTAGCTAGGATATAGCTTGACTTACCTCTCTAATAATGTCATAAGCCATTCCGTCACCAACAACATCAGGCTTAATTATGGCTACAGTAACAGGTCGAGGTAATGCTACAAGATAATTTAAATAATTAAATTCTCTCTTATAAATAAACACTAAAAAGATAACTACAGTGTTAGAGAAAAGTAATGCTGCAAGATAAACCATAACAGTAAAATTATTTCTTGTAAATATCATTGATGATACTTGTTTGTTTGTAGTTAAGCACAAAGCTACACAATGGGCTATCTGTGCTCTGCTCACTACAGGTATTGAAACATGGTTTCTAGCGTTGTAAGTCCACAGACATACTGCTGTGCTACTGGGGAGCCATTGATAATGACTGTTACAATAAAATGTAAAGTTTTTACTGAAAGACAATTAACAACTTTAACTCTTACCTCTTATAAAGAATACTGATAATTATTGCAGTCAATGCATGATACATAATTCAAGGAAGTTAATTCTTTTTTTATGCTTCTACTAGAAAATTATACCCACCATATTGAAAGGAGAGCTTGGTTTATAACTAAGTGGTTTAAAACAGGTGTAATTAAATTGTAAATAAAAATAATTGAAAGTTAATAACAAATACATGAAAAAAATCTTCTTTCATATGATACCTCAATTAATGCTGTATACATTTTAGTTAAATCAAAATAACAAACAGACACACAGGTAAACCGATCAAATTTGCATCCATTATAGTAAAATAATAACCCATAAAATTTATAACATGTCAGAGTAATGCTAAAAGATAAAAAAATATATATATTTATATATTTGAATTGTATATGTAATAGTAGCAATAGCAACAAGTTAAAGTAATGGTGGTGAAGGATTAATGTGAGTTAATTCTTATAAATATTCTAGTTTTATGGCTAAAGAAAATGTTCAAAGTTAAATTAAGGGATTCAATTCAAACTCATAAACCCTAACAACAACTACAGTTTTTGTTGTGCTGGAAGTCAATTTAATGCAGCTAATTTTCTCTTTTAAAGAAGACAACTAATGCTCAGAATAACTACTTATGATAATGGTGCAAATAAACAGATTTCTTAAATGACATTAGAAAAAAAAAATATTCACTTATCAAATATAGTTGAATCAACAGTAGCTGAGTTCAGAACTAAATGAATTCATTGAAAACTGTAAAAGACACGATTTACTGATGTTAAAATAGAACTATAATAATCCAATGAAACCTTACTGTATATAAGTACTGTATTATAATATATATATATAATTGTTAGCAAGTAACCATTAATTTCCTATATGTAATGATAAAACTTTAAAGGTGAAAAGTTTAACTTTCCAATACCCTCAACAGATATATCCCCGATTTGTCAAATAACATGTACTTACTCAGCTGGCTCATCATCCCAATTTGTAAATCCTCTTCTGAAAACTGACTAATTTTTGCTCTTGACCTTCTCCGAATTTCATTCATTCCTTCCACTAAAAGTTCAGTATTAATAGAAATTCAAAGTACAAAGTACAATTAGAAGTAATAAGAAGATGCAAACTAACCTGCAAACCAACTCTTTTGAAATTGATTGGATGCAATGATTTATGACTCATCAAACATAAATTTATATTAGGTAATCAAGAAATTAATATTGCCTTTTTTTCAGATGAAAAAACCTGAACAAAACAAAACATTTATTAAATGAAGCAGTCTCCATTCTTATCAATGATGCTTTTCCATCTTACAATCAGGTTGTTAATGCCCTGATTAAAGAAATCAGTTGGCTTTGAAGCAAAAAACATGTCGTTAAATTCAAAGGTTAAAATCATGGACAAGTTCTTGTTTTGATAGTCTATGTTTGACTGTTCACAATATGAACAATAATTGTAATAAAATGCTGTTATAAGTAAGAAGCAGAAGAAAACTTCCTTTATCTAATTTAATTTAGTTACACATTAAAGATAATAGGTTTTGAATTGAGCTATTAAAGATTTATGGCAATTAGCTAAATATCAGCTAGCCAGAAAGCTAATACGTATATATAAATTTACGAACATGTTTGAGTAAATGGTTTTTACTTTCTACTTACCAACATAAAAATATATAAAACAAATCAAAAATGTTAGAAACTAGATGAGTAATATTAATAATTACTTAACAACTTTCTTATATGTATTTTTTCTTCATTAAACAGTGCTAGTTATAAGCATTTACTGATTCTGTATTGGAGGGCACTCATTTTCTTAGTTTATTTAGTTAGCTTAAGGCAGCCTTTACCCTCCAAAGCACATACTGACACTTTGTTGGTTTTGAAATTATGGTGCTATGTTAGAGAAATGAATAACACAGTGTGATAAACTACATTTTCATACATGTGAATCAATAAAAAGACCTATAAAATTTAGAAACATAGCACCCAAACTTATTGTAATGTTAAAGTCAAACAACACTTGATTATGATCATGCTAAACATGGCTGTATGATACACACAATTTGAGAAACATAACAAAACTATTGTAACACTAGAATACTTTTTAAAAGCTAAAAAGGATTGTTAATAAACACTCATGGATAAGGTGAGTTCTTTACTTATTTACTGTTCATAAACTATCAAGTCATCAATATTTTTTGGTAGTTTTCTTTTCCATGGCTTACTATCCTGTTGCTATAAGAGTTCTCTCTACGTAGGTAATCAAGAGAATCCACTGGTGGCTGCATCCCTGGCAGTACTCTGGAAGTTATCTTGACATGAACCTCAGACTCTTCAGTAGGTGGACTTACCTCTGGAGAAGTCTTCTCTGAAGCTAAGAAGTTGGGTGTTCTCCTGCTGATGTACCTTTAAAGATAACCATGGTGGATGACCTTTGGTTTGAACTACCTGTCTTTCTGGATTCTGTTCTGCCTTAGTTTAGGTTGATTTTTTTCATTATCTTGTGCTTCCATCCTTATTGTCATGGGAAGTGCAACTTATGGTGGTTTAACTGTTAAGTAGTGCACAGGAATTTCCTGATCATAATCTGCGAACCTGTTTGATGCAAATCTAACCTCAAATCCATGTTTCCACATGAAGTTTATTCCCAATGTAAATTCTTCCTCAGTTTCAATTAAAGCATGTATCATGTTGTGTAAAGAAGTTCCCACAATGAAAGTGACTTCCAACTTTCCTTTTGTTGTGTGTATAAGTAAGTTTTCTTACTTCATCCCTGTACTGTATGTGATTTCCAAGCTTTTATTACCAAATTGGGTCGAACATTAGTAACTGTAGAATCGCTATCAAATCAATATGTTACAAATCTTCCCATCAGAGAATCCATTAATTCCTGAGATGGTTTCTTTAAATAATGCACTCCTTATCTCAACTGAGACAAGTGGGATGTTCTCATGTCAAGATACTGTTTTCTTGGTTTACTATCAATGGTTGATTCATCACAGTCTCAGATTTACTGTTCCTGTTTCACACTTATGGCAATTTCTACTTCATGAAGGCAATGTATACTTTTAAGTTACAATTGAAACATCTTCTGTCCTGAGACTCACTTCTTCCATTACAAGTAATCAGTTGTCTAATTAATCCTCTGACTTCTTTGAGACTTCCATCATAGAGAGTTGATGTTTCTACACTATTTGGTCTGAGGATCCCATGATATCTGGAGAGTGATTTTAGTTGTTTTGCAACTTTAATTGATTCACGTTACATTGCCAACTGGACAACTTCTATTACAGATGTACACCTCTTTGTTTTTGCCTAATTTGAACATCCTCACCCATTATGGCACCTATGAATTGACCACACGCCAATGAATTCATTTTTCACATTACACTCCAAATCTGTTTGATAAGGTAGCCACTAATGCTTGGTAGTTGTTAGAACTCTCTGTAAAAAGGTTGCTTAATGTTGTTAAAGTTAATTCTATCAAATACACAATAAGATGAATATCTCTAACCATTCACCTTGGAAATTATTTCAAACTGTGCCTGATTTGCCTCCCATGGTATCTTTCTGTCACAGACTTTAGGTTTCTTGGTTGGGTGATGTTGCTTGACTAGCCTACTAAGTTCCATAACTAGGTGATATAGTAGTGTAATTAGAGTAACCCAAGAAAGTCTTGCAGTCATAGGTGGCACAACAGTAGTAGCAAAATGTGTAAACCAAGGAGGTTCTTCTATTCCATATGGCAGAGTTAAACATTGGAATTCTTGAAAAAATGCAGTGAGAGGTGTGGCTGGTTTGATTTTTGAGCTTGCAAATTCAGTTTGCAGATGTTTTATCTTAACATTTATGTCCTTTTGTACATTTCCTTTGGTCAGCTTCTTCATTATTGGTGTTATAATTCTTCTGTACTTCATTGATGTCCATTTGTACTTCTTCAGTTTTGATGTTATAATCCTTCTGCATGCTATTGATATCATTTTGTACATCCCAGTTTAATTTGTTGTTATTGTCCTTTTGAAAACTGCTTTCTACTTCACTGATGTCCCTTGGTACATTTCCTATGGCTTCCTCAGTTTAGTCTTTTTGTTCGTAATTCTTCTGTAAATTTTTAATCTCATTCTAGTAATTCCTCTTTTAACTTCCTGTCTCTTTCTGTTTGTTTGTTTTTATCTAATTTTCTGTCTCTTTCTTCTTGTTTGTCTTTCCACTGTTATATCATTTCCATCTTGCTTCAAGCATGTGTTGTTACCTTGAAGCTCAGTCTGAATTCTGTTTTATTTTTTCCAAAATAATTCCATTCCTGACACCAGTGTTATAATGGTTTCTTTTGTTGGCTGGGTTACTTTGAATTATTTGGTAAAAATAAAAATGCACACTCCAGTCTATTTAATGATAAAAAAAGTATTTCATTTCTTCAACTATAAGTTTTACATTCACATAGTTTTATGAAATAATGATAGGCCTAACTTTACAAATAATGCTAAACGGTCACTTTACTCACCAATTTCTTGTATGTACAGAGCTTTTCATATCTTTATTTCTTTGTTGAGACAAAAACTCAAAATTTAAAGCACTGAAGTAACATAAAAATAAACTCACTGATTCAGTAATCAATCTACTACTGTAAAAAAGACTTACTAACCAATCAAAAATCTCCACAACCTACCCTCATCTGACTTGCATCTTTATACTTTCATTTCCTAAACTTTCAAGAAAATTCCAGACATTAAACCAAATGTTCCTCAAGTAACATCAACATTCCCTCTGGCAAAACAATACAAACATTAACACATAGCCTACAACACTGTCTATAAAAACTTGAACAAAAATTTGGAAATTATATGCAGAGTGGAAATTAAAATATAAAATAACAAATATAAGATAAACGTTAATAACAAAGTTAAAGTTTCAACTTTTTGTCTAGATAACAGAGTTTTAAGTTGTTTTTTTTACACATAAAAATTGCATTTGTTTCTTCATTTTATATTCTATGGCTTTTCATTCTATTTTCAAGTTCATGAGAAATTGTTTTCTTTGGTTGAAACATATGACTATTAGTACGACATATATTGTGAACCAGTGACTTTAGTTTAAATATTTATTTATGTTGCTCAACTTAAAAACCTCGTTAACTGAAGTCTAATTTTATGTTGGCAATAATTAAACTGTTATTTCATGACTACATCTCCTATGAGTTTAGGAAGACCATAAAATAGCTTTAATCCAGAAAGACAGTATCTAATTCATCCATAAGCAGCAGCAAACTGATCTAATTTTAGAAAAATGTAAGAAAATCCATTAAAAAACAGGTAATGGTATGAAGAGAATTTGAATTTTACACATAAATAGCACCAGAAAATGAGGTTTGAAATATCAGTTTGAGGGTTATCAGCCATTTTTCACAATTTTGATTCTGCAAGCTCATCAAAAATAAATAATTTGAAACAAAAAATGTTTTTGCCATTTATGTGTATTTAAACAGTGAATGAAAGATAAGAATAACATGAGAGAAAGAGAGTGAAAAATGAAAAAATTAACTGAAACCACTTTTGGCTTATTTGTGTATAAAATGGTTCAAGGACACCCACCAGGTTTGGTAGTAATAAATTATGTAAAGTAAGATGGGTTGTGTATATGACATAATTCACTGGTTTTTTGAACTGGTACTTAGTCATTAAGTAATTACATTATTCATAAATTTATGAGTATGGCTAACTTTCATGGTATCTCATCTCTATTATGAGTTAACATCAAAGTTAAATAACTAGCAATGCAGAAAAAATATATTGCAAGAGAATAACTCATCAGGATGTTGTCTAAAACTTTATATTTAGTGTTTTAAGTAGTAATACACCTTGATATTTTGATTACTTCATGTTTCTGTCACATGTTTTTAATTAAAAACTATGTGTGACCATGACAGAGGGTGGAGGAAAGGATTTCTTGCCACAATTGGAGCTATTAAAGGTACATCTTGTTGAAACAACAAACACCTGATAACATGAACTGGTACCCAATGACATGAACTGTGAACAATGATATAAGGTTTCTTTCATCTGCTCAAGTTCTGAATTTTGAAAATATAGAAAGTCTATATATAAGCACAGCCAGCATCAGTCTAGATGCAACTGCTGATACACTTAAGTTAATACACAAAAGTTTTCAGTGTCAGACACAATAGTTACAATGTTCATTAAACAAAGTTCCTATTGTACTTTCTGCTAAACATATTGTAAATCTAGTTAAATCTTAAGTACAGACATTGTATTTTCTCTAGTGACCATTAATGTTCTTTCTCTTTTACTTCTCAATCTGTGTATAAAAATAGTTTTAAAAAGTTTAAATTGTTAACAGAATTAATGTCAAACACAATTCAAAATCCTCTTGCAGTATCTTTTAGTGAAATATTTGCTTTGTTAAAATTGCCTAAATTTAACATTTTATAAAATAAGTTGGTAGTTAGTGACAGACATTAGGGAATGTTTCTATCTATTGGATGGAGACTTTCAGGTATCTCTTATCAACACCTGACTGATCGGCAGTAATGTTTTCATTCATATAGCAATTTGTAACTTTAGCTACTTTACTATGGTTATGTTTTTCTAGTTGAACTTGAAAGCAATTTAAATAAATTTACTTTTTTTACCACTACTTCTTAACCACATTTACATTTAATCTCATTTTACTTCCCCAAATTTTCTTACTTATGACCCTTGTGGTTTAACTGCTGGAGATAAAATGTCCAGGCTCAAATAAATGACAAGTGGGACAACACATTACATAACAAACTGCAATAGCATTGGAAATACAGATACTGCATTTTACTCTCTAACCCTACCAATTCACAACATTGTTAATTACTTAATCCATCCCCTTTTTCCCAACTATTTTAAAACAAAGTAAATGTTAGAATTAATCAACTTTCTACCAACCAATTTCATTTTCCTCCTCATCTACTTCTTTCTCTTCTTCTTCCTTAGCTGTCTGTTCCTGTTCTTTGTCGGTTTCTACAGACATTGCAGGATCACAAATCTGATAAATACATTTATAATGTCAGTCTTTCTTCTAAAACCATGGGTAACAGAAGTTGTAGGAAGATAAAACTATGGCCCTACAAATAATTTTCACATTTTTTTTCTAATATTTATATATTCAGGTAGTCTTAAATTTTATATTATTTGAAATAGTTTGTTACTATGTCACTGTTTGTGAATATTATGTGCTATTTCTTTACTTTACTCACCAGTACCATGTGTACTCTTATCTGGTTGTTACTTTTAAAATAATTAATTAGTTTTGTAAAATTTACAACTGTTACAAACATGGTTGAAAATGTGATATGAAAAATAATTTAGAATGCACATACGTAGCACATGCTGTTAAGATTGCTTATTGCTTCATCAATAAAATATGTTGGTGTGGCATCATAGTAACTGTAAACTTAGTACGTGTATAATATTGATATTATCTAAAATATATTCATCTAAGTTTTAAAACTAAGCATATAATTTCAAAGAAATGAAATAACAGTTATTGCAATGTCAACTATTTTATGGAAATTTAAATGCAGATGATGACTCTAGTTTTAAAAATTAACAATGATGTTATGATTATATTTGCTTCACATCTCTTTCCTTTTGGGTCACAAAATGAAACTAAAATCACATTTACAACACATTAAGAATAAATATTTTATCTCTTAGGTACAGAAAAATATCATTCACTAAATAACACACAATATACACAGGGATAAACTAAACATATGTAATGAAATTAAAAGCAAAATTGTTACCACTACTCTTTCAGTTTCTCCTTTTAGGACACTATGTTCAGCTTGAAGTTTTTCTACTATTTGTTTCTGCAAAAGTTGTGCATTAGCTCCCTTAATGACACCAATTAAATGTCCACTCTAGAATACACATAAAATAGATCATGCAAACTTCAACCAACTAAACCTTCATTACATCTCATTTAAAAAAAACATATAAAACAAACCATATCGTATGAAATCGGCTATTTACTATATAACATGCATGATACCGATCATATAATTTAACACTAAATAACTGCCATTGTTTGAAAATGTTTAAAACAGACTATGATATTTATCACAACCTACATATCCTTTCTAAAGTTATATACAAAACAGACACTAATTGATACCAATTAAATATATAATTCAGAATATAGATAAAACACATCACCTTACATCAACAAATTCTCAAAAACAAAATATATAAAGCATATCATGCCCAGTATACAATACATGCAATAAAAGTTGTTGTTAAGTGTCTAATTTATAATATATGTAAAACAGTTTAAAATGATTCCCAAAATTTTTTTGTAAACATTAATAACAAGCCATGTTATACATGTATGATGCCACATAAATGTTTGTAGAGAAATTATGTAATGTCATATCAACTGCATGTAAATATCCATTTAGACTGCATGTAAAATAGGCCACATAATACAAGTATGACCTCATTAATAATAGACCTGGATAATATTCATTACATTTTGCAATGTATGATGATGTATTATAATCCCATTGTAGAAAGACAATAAACAAATACACAAAATGCTTTCATCTGACAGCACCAGTAATAATAACTTCATTTTAACACTGAAAGAACACTTGTAAGGATACCAGTGGGATCCTGAATATAATTAAGAGGAGCTATTTGCCATGAAACAACACATAAACACTGTTGAAAATGTTTCACATAATGAATATACATTATTCTGATCTCAACTGAAGCAATGCTTGTCACAACAAATGAGAGTAAGTTTTACAGGGAGTTTGAGCTATATGAAGTGAATTATATTGATAGTTTTTTAAACTTTCATCAGTCTGCTATCTCACTGAACAATATCAAGTTGTTTCTAAAATTGATGTTTAATGTTAACGCACCTACAAGATTATGCAAACAATGGTGAAAATATATAAAATTGAATTGGTATATTTTACAACTTTCACTATAAATCCCTTTAAGTTCCACTCTAGCATACATATAAAATGAAACATATACACTCCACTAACAAAATAATTTGGAGGTTACACTTTCAGCTAGAAATGTACCTAACCAAATAAAATTATCTATGAATCCCAATGTGCATTGCTATGTAGGATTTATAAAAGAAGAAATTCATAAACCTTCAAACAGGAATGGATATTGGATTAGCAATAGCGGTATGAATGTGAGAAACATTTCATCCCATTTACCCATAACCAAATTTATTGTGTAGCATACTGAAGAAATGGAACAACACTTAACATGTTACTGTAGGGTATTGAAATAATCATCCAGAAATTAATCACATTTAGTTCATAAGACTTTAAAATATGTTACAAAACTAAACTCCACATGTGGCAGAAATTTAAGGAGAATTCAGGGGCTACAGTTGAACATATCCACTATGCATAAGAAGCACCTTGCTGCTGGATTTCATAAACAGACTGTATTCCAGAGACTGCTAATCAAATCTTGGTGCTTTAAGCTTCAAAACAATAGAATATAATCATCTGGAGCAATAAATGTTCTTACTCATTATTTGTTCCAAATGGATGGATCTAGATTTTATGGCAAGTTGGGGAATGCTTTGGATATGACTATGTTATCCCAACTGTCAAGAATAGTGGAGAAACTTTCCTGATGTGAGCTGAGTTAGCTGTTTTGAATTCGGTCTACTGGTAATTGTTAAGAAAACCATGAATTCCTTGTCATATTATCATACTCAAAAATAATAATGCAAACTACAGTGATGGAATTCTATGGGGAACAATTACAGCTCTTTCAGTAAAATAATGTACCATGTCATACCACAAACTGTTTCTAGCAGTTGTTTGAGACAAATACAACTAGAATATACTTTTATCTATCCATACTCTTGACCTGACCTGATTCCTACTGTATGACACTAGGATATTTAAGAATGTTGCCTAATAAATAAACCATGTAATATACCAACTAAATGTCCATTTGAGAATAAAGTATAACTTAGATGTGTAATACACACCAACTATTTCCACTGTAGATACACATGAAACATATAATATAACATGGAATCAAATCAATGTCCACTCTACAAGGTAAATAGAATACACCATGTATTACACCAAATAATTGTCTATTCAAAAATCTACATCAAATGCATCATGTAGAATATAAACTAAATTTCTAATTTTTTTAATTAATAAAAAATATGCAATGTAATATGCACTAACTAACTAATTATTCAAGTTGAAATGTTTATATCAAATCAGACCATAGAATACAAGGGTAATAAAGTAATTAAATACTTTTAAGTGAAAGAATCTCATTTAAATATAAAGAAACTGCTTCGATATCTTGTTATGTTCATATACTATATCACCATTTGAAAGACCTTTCTAAAATACATATACTATAAACTGTGTAGTATGACACAAGTGTTCACTCTATAATACATACAATACAAATTAAGTATCCACTCCAAAATACATGTAGGCTAAGCCATGCAAAACTGAAACAAATTAATTGTTCTCTCTCTTTCTCTCAAAAACATGTAAATCAAAACAAATATTCATTCAATTATTTAAATACTGCAATACTGCACAAGAGAGGGTTCACTGTACAATACATGTAATATAGATCAGTTAATAAGACAAATTTCATGCTTACTCTAAAATACATGTAAAGAATACATTAAGTACAGCAAATTAAATATTTGCTTTTGATCACATACAAAACAAATCATGTAACATAAAATAAAACTTTTTCACTCTACAATATGTGAAAAAACTGATATAAACTGTTTACTCCTAAAATATGTAGAATAAACCAATAAAGTAGCAGATCTACAATATGTAAAAAAGAATTATTTTAGTATGACACAAATAAATGGTCATTCTAGTATACATGTAAGTCAAACCATGTTATACGATATAAAATAAAGTTTATTATAGACTGTATATAAATCAAGCTATGTATTATCATGAAAAAAGCTCACTCTATAATGTAAAACTATTTAATATCATAAAAAGAATCACTTTACAGAACATGTAAAGCAAACTACATAATGTTCTTTAAATGTACTAAGTTTTCATCACACAGTATATGTGATATGACTATGTAACATGACACAGGATGATTGCTCTGTATAGAATATATGTAAAATAAATTATGTAACATTATATATATATATATCAAGTGTTCATAACATAATATAATGTACAAATACAAAGTAATGACGTCAACAAAGTAGTTCACAGTACAGTAAGTAGGTGTATGGCAGACCGTGTATTATAACACTATATATTCATCTTATAACACATGTAAACAGGCACATAATTGGTATGGAAAAACACAAGAGCTTTACTTAATTTGAATGGCCTTTTAAGAATTAAATTATGAAGGTAAGAAATGTATCTTTATGAAATATGCATGAGAACAAGTGCATTACAAAACCTGAAACAATTATGTTTTGTTTTGGGATTTTATAAGCTCATGCTATAAGCATTAATTGATACATTTGTTGTTGAAAAAATTACAGTAAAAAAATACAGTATTTCTAGAACCAAATTAGTCTATCCACACTTACTCCAAAAAACAACCATGTTGGTTCACATTTCCCTCTGTACTTTTTCAAAGCATCAATCTTATCAGCATTTGCCTAAAAAATAATATTGCTATTAGAAGCATTCACATTCAAATCATAAGTGGTATTTAACAAAAGTATAACAATTATACCTACACATATTCTGTTTAGAAATCCTAAAAATGGCAGGTGATATGAATATAAGATATGACAAACATAAGCAACACTTATACAAAGATTATTTTATGTATAAAATAAACATTATGATTCATTATCACTATTAAAAACAAAAATTTAAAATCTACAATGAATAATTTCCTTATAAATATTGAAATTAGCATTATTTCTATCAATATTATACATGTATGTAAATTTCCAAAATTTTGTTTTCTATGATATCAATGTATGTGTTTTCTACTCCCTTATTTAATGGGAAAAATTCTTTATCTTTTCTTCTATTTATGGAGTATGTAGTTTTAGCACACAAAGCTTAGAAGGAGGTAACTAAATTCACTTATCCGTAGTTATCTATTAAATTGCGTCATTCACCTATGGTATCACATAAGCCTGCTCATAGGCAAGATTTCTGTAAAGTAAAACATATTACATGAAAATAGATAGCAATCTTTTCCACTGTTGGGTTAAGTGATACCATGAGGAAATATAACCGTACCTTATATTTTGCTAGAAATGACCAACAGTGAATTGGGTAGGGCTTGTGCCCTGAGAAAGAATATTATCACTGTCTAATGTATTTTATGCTATGTTTTTCTCATTCTGGAACAGTTCTTCACAGATATTTCATAGGATTTGCATCTTCATTTAGAGCTCTCAAACCAGTACAGGCATTATAAATGCACTAATTTTTTTCTTTTGATTGTGTTTGGTATTTGATAAAGATTGCTTCACACTTATGTGTACCATGTCCAGTCTTTTTCTTTGCTATGCTCTGTCAAAAGTCAGAGAATTCTTATCTACTCCCACAAAAACATTTTCTGTTGAACTAGTTATATATTCTGCAGAACCTGCCTAATTATCTTACAGGGAAATCATTGCTCCTAAGAAAACCACAACAAAAGAAACTGCATTGTAAATGCTGCAGAATGTAACTTCCATGTAAATATACATGTTATCCATTTAAACAAAGTACCTTATGCTCTAAGAAATATTTTGTTCTTTATCATAAAGTGAAAACCAATTTAACATGTGTTGTTTTAATAAATCTTAAAATTTGGTTAACAAGTTTTTTTTTAATTAATTTTAAATAATAATCATATTTTTAAGTCAGTGCAAAAATAGCTTAATCAACTTTACTGGAGCACTATAATTCCTACTTACTACAGCAAAATGAAGAAGTTCATCCCTAAGTTCTATCTTAATCTTTTTCAGATTACTTTGCATGGCCAAACAAGGTCCAGCCCACTGCTGATAAACATCCACAACTGCAAAATATAATTATATTATCATTAGTTGGAGTTTTTTAGGTTAAGAATGGTGGGTTTTGAGGAGTGTAGCTAAAAATGTTGTTTATTTTTTAAAATCATGCAACAGCAAAAAAATCACAGACTAATCTATTATACCAAAATACTAAATACCTATGGAAAGAAGCATTACAAATTATAGTTTCTAAGCCACTAAAGATACTATATGGTCTATAGAGTTTTACTTTTAGGCTAACTCAAACATAAGCCTTCAGGCGTGTTAACATTAAAATGGAAACAAATTGAAAATCATTGTTTTGCATTAACAGTTATCGTTGTCTAACTATCCGAATTATTTAACTTACCACAGTGCTCCACTGATTTAAGAAAAGCGTAGTACTATTACAATTGCACCTTACAGAGTGTAATTTAACCTAACAAACTTAGGTAAGACTGATAATAATTATGAAATTTAATAATAACTAGCATAAGGCCCAATACTAATAGTAATACTTACCAAGAAGGCCTTTTTTTGCAAGAGCATCATCCCAATCTTCTTGACTATTCAACTCCAGCTGTATTGCTGACTGATCTTTCTTTCTTGATGTCATTCGGGTAAAATAAATTTATTGGTTTGTATTTTTTTTTTATACAGTTTATGGATTATATCGTAGTATCTATACTGTACATCACCATGACTAAACAATTTGTCTTATACTGTTATAGTTGTTTATTACGATTTGTCCCAGTAGTACTAATGTGATAACACCGAAGTGACACAAGGGTTTCTTTTAGCAAACGGAAGTTTCTCTACTGTTGCTAAGAGACAAACTTGAAGAATTCACCCCCCTCTATATCTTACAACGATCGATTTACGAGTGCTTGTGTGCGCCTCAGGGAAAAAAAAAAGCGTCAGCTGCTCTTTGTAACAGGTGACCAATGAAAACCATTGAACTATAGATTTTGCGCTATTACAATATCTGATGATGATTTTAGGTATTATTGCTTACAAAATGGAAGTTGGCGGTTCTGTTAAGTTTATAGAAATAAAATACCAAAGATAAGCAGACAGTTCCTTTCAAGTTTATATTAGACAACCAAGATACTTTATAGGGGTGCGTATCTCATTATCGTAGTCGATACGATACGTTTGTTTGTTTGTTTTGTAATTAAGCACAAAGTTACACAATGGACTATCTGTGCTCTGCCCACCACGGGTATCGAAACCCGGATTCTAGCGTTGTAAGTCCGCAGACATACCGCTGTGCCACTGGGGGCAATACGGTACGTATCTAAATACAAACGTTTTACCAACGGTTTATTACAAAGTTTGACAGTCTTGTATATAATTTATTATCTATATACTAACATTGTCTTATTTAAGTACTTCACACTTTACAGTGCTTTTTCAAATTCTCAGGTTTGATTAATTAACTGGCAGCTGGCAAGAGGAGTAAAATAGAAATAGTTAATATCTGTCTATCTATTTTGTTATTATTAATTTGTTATGTTACTTTGTATGTAATGTTTTTGATAAAAGAAATGAAGACAATACTCATCTTCCTTTATTGAATCATTAATTTTTATCAAAAATACTTTATTAGAGGTGCTGATTTTTTTCTGGACAAAAGACTTAAAATGTTTACTGAAGCTTGCCAAATTTCGTGAAGATACATAAATCGTATCGGACGATGAATCGATACAATCCTATAACAGTTTCACGATAAGATACTCGTATCGTATCGTTGTATCACCACACCTTTAATACTTTCACAGTCTCCCCAACACGATATAATATGAAGACAAAATTTATGCTCGTTTTCACGCGGTTTCGCCCACAACGCATTGAGGCTATTTCTTTAAGTATGATGAGTTTTCGCACTAAATACATTCAAGCATTAATGTGGCGAGTAGTTTGTTTGTTTTAGAGTAGAGTCACATTGGGCTATTTGCAGGTGTCCATTGCGGAGAATCTAACACCGGATTTTAACGTTGTAAGTCCGTAAACTTACCGCTATTCCACCGTGAGATATAGCAAGCAGAGATAGGTAAGATATAACGGCTGAATTATTCGGGTTACTTAAGAGCACACCATATCAAAAACGGATGCGTTGGAAAACAAAATGAAAATTCATTGATTTGTCTTATTACATATATGTATGTTTCTCATAAGGTCTCTGTGGCTTTTTAAAAATTACTAGCAAAAATTCACAATGTTTCTTGTCGTTTTCACTAAATAGATTCTTATAGAAAATGAGGTAATGCTTTCAAGTACTTGAATACTAATGTGACCTACTTACTTACTTGACTTATTCCTTTTAGTTCTGGCTGGAACATAGGGCCACGAGTGTTCCACGCCATCAGCCCCGACTTTGAGCCATCCTCCTCAACTGAGCCCATAAGAGTCCAGCAGCCTTGATCTTTTCATCGACAATTCTCCAACAGATTATTTTTGGTCTCCCCACTCTCCCTTTTTACTGTGGGTTCCATTCCAGTGCCTGTTTTGTCACATTGCTATGAGGCTTCCTGAACGTGTAACCAATCCAGCCCCATTTCCTCTTCACAATTTTTTCTTGGACAGGCAGTTGATGTTTCTGCTCCCATAAGTCAGCATTAGAAATGACATCAGGCCAACATAATATGCAGAATGTTGCATAGACACTTGTTGACAAAGGTCTGAATCTTGGCTGTGATGGTCTTGGTTACTCATCATGTCACACACCCATAAAGAAGGACTGATTTCATGTTGGTGTTGAACAGTCTGACTTTGGTCTTTTGGGAATAAGATGGCGAGGTCCATATAAGAGGTTTAAAGGCAAATATGGCTTTGTTGATTCGTGAGCTGATGTCTCTATCGGTGCCTCCGTCCTTTGATATGACACTTGCAAGGTACATAAACTTGTCAACTTCTTCTATACCATTTCCATTGAGCTGCACTGGGTCCTGTTGTTTGTTGCTGAGCCTCATCATCTTCGAATTGTTTACGTTTATGTGTACCCCAGTTTTTGCAGCTTCCTCAGCAAGTCGTTGAGTCTTGGAATCCATGTTCTGTTGCCTGTGTGACAGAAGACATAGATCATTCACAAAATCGATATCTTTCAGGTGGTTCATGAATGTCCACTGGATGCCTGTCTTTGTGTTGTTGGTAGTCTTCCTCATCATTCAGTCGATAACAATCAGGAAGATCATTGGTGAAAGCAAGCATCTCTGCCTGACACTGTTCTGAACTGTAAAGGATTCTTAGTGTTTTTCACTGTGTATCATCTTGTATGTTGACTCCTCATAGACTTCTCTGATGATGTTCACAAATTTTGTTGGGATGCCATAGTGTTGGAGTAGGTTCCAGATCATTTTTTTGTCAATTATTTCAAAAGCCTTTTCAAAATCTACAAAGATTATGAATAATGATGTCTACCATTCATTGGATTGCTCAATGATGATTCTGAGCATGACTATCTTGTCTGTGCATGATCTATCTGCACAAAATCCTGTCTGTTCATCTCTGAGCCTGTCATCCAGGATGGCCTTCAGTCTCTCCAGGATCACTCTGGTGAGCACCTTGCTGGGCAGTGACAGCAGCATATGTCTCGCCAGTTGCCATACACTGCAAGGTTCCCTTACTTTGGCAACTTCACCAGGTATCCATCCGTCCACTCCACTGGCATCTTTTCTTGTTCCAAAACTTTCCTAAAAACTGATGTAACATCTCTTTCATGATGGGATTTCTGTTTTCAGTGCTTCTGGTGGAATGCCGTCTGGACCTGATGCTTTTCTATGTCTCAGGAGTTTGTGTGCCTTTGTAATCTCTTGCTTTGTTGGGGGTTGGTGTTAACATTCAGGGGTTCCGCTACTGGTGTGGTGGTTGGGCATTGCACACAAAAATCTCTGTTGAGAATCTATTTTAAATTGCTCAACTTATCTAGCTTCTTTGCTGATAGTCCATCCATGTTTGTTCTTTACAAGCCTGTGCTGACTGGAGTTCTTTCTTGATAGTGTATGGGTGATGTTGTATAACGTCTTCTTATCCTTTTTCCCCGCTACTGTCTGTACTTCCTCTATGAGTTCTTCAATGAAGGTTCTCTTGTCTCGCCTGGTGCTTTTCTTCACTTCTCTGTTGAGGTTCCAGTATTGTGCCTGTAAATCTTGATTCTATTCCTGGTTGGTGCACCGTTTAACTTTCTTTTGAGGTCTCTTCTTGCTTGAATAAGGTTCCATGATGCCTGTGAGAGCCATTCCTTGTATTGTTTCTTCTTTTTGCCTTGTACTTTAGCACACGTACTCTGGAAGATCTCCTGGAGTTTGATCAAATGGTCCTTGATGGTTTCTTTGATGAGGTCATCCAAGAGTTCAAACTTGTTCTTTGGCTGTCATTGGAACTGTTCTGCTGTCTCTCTTGCCCTGAGATTCTGCACATTGGACTTGTGATGCAGTCTGCCTGACCCATCCTTGAAAGCTTTCGGCTTTATTCAAACTATTTCAAAGAGAAGAGAATACTAATGTAGTGGCCCCTTTATTTCAGTCCCGTCTTCAAGTGGCCAATTAGAGAACTAAACACGGATATATCTTACCTCCATCGAGTCTTATATGACCAAATAGATACACATATTCTATAAAATATGAAGTTTTGACTGTAGTATGAAACTATCCATGTTAAAAGCAAAACACGGCTTATAACCTCTTAAAAATACATTGTATCTTATGCTCAACATTTCAGCCTCTAGCCTGCTTGCCAATTTGTTAACCCTAGTCAAAATTACTAGAGTGAGCACTTGCTGTAAGCATGATTGTGTACCATAAAAGAGAACAGAGATGAAAAAGTTGTTAACCAAATATGGTCATGGTTGGACAAGATGTTTCACTCCATTTGAATGTTGTAATTTGTTTGTTGGCTAGAGAGCGTTATGAGTCTTAATGATGATGTTCAGATCAAAATTTTAATAAGATTAACATAGAACACCTATAAAATTCAAAGGATCTAACAAAAAATTTCTAGCATATTTAAAGTATATTATGTATACGAGATAGTGAAGAGAATTGTTTCAAGAAGATAATATGTCAGTCAGTGTGTTAGATATCGTGGTTACTTTGTGCAAAAAGGCTGATTTTATTTTATGTTCGTCCTAGAACTTAGAAGTATCAGAGAAGGAAATGTAATTTGTAACACAGGCCTACAATATTTACAACTGTTCAAGTTTCTACAACCATTAAAAGAGGAAATAAAGTGGACTGAACGTTCAATATTTTCATCAGATAATATAAAAGAACTCGCCAACAATAGGACAACTTTACAACAGCATTGTAGTTTGTATTTACTTTCATTTTATTCGGTACTAATGAGGGTATTTCTTGTAATACAAAAGTATTGATCACTAGCTGGAGTAAGTTCATGATTAATGAAAGGTTATCTTAGAACATTAAAAGTTGCTTTCCTTATATATAATTGTAAAAAAACGTAAAAACGCCCATAAAAACTGCAAAACACAAAATGTGAAATCGCAAGTTTGCACGTATCTCCGTATCTCCGCATGGATCCAACAAACTTTCATGCCAAGTTTGGTGAAGATCCATCAACAGGGGGGAAAAGTAATGGTAAAAACGTACGTAAATACCGCAAAACGTAAAATGCGAAACTGAGCATTTGTATGTATCTTCCCATGGACCAAATGAATCTCCATACTAAATATGATGAAGATGCATCCACACCCTGCGAAGTAGTTACATGGACAGACAACAGATAGTA